GACAGAAGGCTGTCTCGCCATGTTAGGGGAAGGATTGATTAATCCTGCTTGGGAGATTTGTCTTACAGTAGGAGAGCGGCCACATTGACTTTCCTCTGTGTAGGTGAGAGAGGTGATTTGACCACAACTGTAACAGAGTCTGCATTGTATTTATAAATGTGTATAAGGTTCATTGAAATGGATTCACTGGTTATCTGGGTTCTAGGGGCGTTTTCCTCAATACTATAAAAACCTTACATCCTTTACTGGTCACATACACGTCTGAGTCTCGGAGATGTCATGAAATGTTGCCGGCATGTTGCTGCAGAGTCATGCGTTGCTATTCTTTGAAAACACATAGGTCTGTTACCAGTGGTATTTCTGATCTACCAAGTGCCTAGTTCCCAGGAAAGAGGGTCAAGTGTGCATTGGTGTTGCCTGCCATCAGCTGTTAATGGTGTTTAGTGGAATTTTCCCTCACCACCAGATCTGTTCAACTCAGCCAGTGCTCAGAGTGCCTGCCAAGGGTAAGGCACCAAACAGGAAAATGGGGAGTATAGATGTCAGTTTTGCTGATCAAAGCCTGTGACCACAAAAAACCCAGAGCAGGAAACCGTGACAAATATCTGACTATCTGGTGTGCAGCCACTTGGAACCCAGTAGTGCAACTCATCAGCTTAAGAAGCGTGCATGTGTGCACAGGTGTTTGTATATGTGAGGTCTGTGTGGAGTAACAGGTTGAATAAGGGGAGAAGGTTTTATGGTAGACACCTGGGGAAAACCTGTGTAAGTTATGCTTTTATCTTCTTGTGTGTATGTTATCACTCAGGAACACTTAGGCCTGGTGGTTCAGTAGTGTGGGCTCTCTCCTCCTACCCCAACTTGTATCACCTTGTGAACACCAGTTGATTCAGGATGCAGGTAGAACTCTTCAGCAACAGTTTAGCTGTGGTCTGGGACTCCTAGGTGCCCCGTGGAAAGTGCAGTTACACAGGGCCCCCTGCTCAGAGTGTCTCTGGGTTCTTTAATGCTCTGCTATAGCCATCTTAAAATTCCTAGTGACTTTTGAGACTAGAACTTTACATTTCTTCTTTGTATTGGTCCTCACACATAATGTAGCTGATCTGGGTTGCCTGAGACCCTTTCAAGGGGTCCATGAGCTCAGAACTATTTTAGTAAGAATAATAATGTTATTTGCTTTTCCACTCTCATTCTCTCCCACTAGTATACAGTGGACTTTTCCAGAGGCTACCTGATTGCAACAGATTGAATGCAGAAGCTGCTGGGAATCCAGTTGTCCTTTCTGAAGTCAGACAGTCAAGAGATTTGCAGGAATGGAAAAACAGTGCTGTTCTTCTTGCTAGATATATTTTGCTTTTGGAAAGTCTAACTCTTTCTCATTTAAAAAACATTATTTATGCTGACATGTGATGTGTTTTCAATTTTATTTTTAAATGAATTAATAAGTCACCATTTAAATTTTTTCTCCATCGGCTAGGGAGGTAGCTCAGTGGTAGGGTGGTGTTTAGCATGTGAGAGAGGTCCTGGGTTAGATCCCAGCTCCAGAATAAATAAATAAGTGAACGAAGGAGTAAATAAACATTTTCTTGATTTTAGTTTCTGATATGTTACATATTAATAGATGCAACTCGGGAAAGCAGAAGCCTTCAGGCCTCCTCGTAATGTTTAAGACTGTAATGGAGTACAGTCAAGTTTGACAGTCATTGCTCTCCAGGTGTTTATTATTTCTACTGGAGGAAAATTGGTTGTGGAAATGTGATTGAAAGATACAGTGTGTTTCTTTATATTTGTTTATTTGTGTAGAGAAACCAACATCTACTAAAGAAATGAGAGGAAGAGACAGCCTTGGCTGCAACCTTGAACTTGTGCAGGATTTCCCATGCTGTGGCCTAGCACAGATCTCGTTGTTACTTGCTTTTCTTTGTTGAAGTTTCCGAGGGGCCGACTCTGGGTTCCACCCAGCCCTTGGAGCTGTCCAGGATGGGACTTTGCTTGAGAGGTGTCTAGCTCTTGTTCTCTTCCCTCTAGAGTTTCTTGCTTCCTAGAGGGGTGGGGCGGTGCGGGACCGAGGACTCCCCTGGTAGAGTTGGATAGGAGGTTTCTTCCACTTTGCGGATGCCAGAGGCTGGTAAAGAATCTTCCTTTACCAAGTCCAAAGGCACAGGGCTAAAGTCACAAGGAACAAGTACATAAAAGGAATAAATAAGAAAGCACAGTGGCTTCAGCCTGGAAGCAGGGAGCAGTCACTAGAGATTCCTGTCCTGTGCAGGAGAAGCAGCCCACCAGCCACAGCCTGAAAAGAGAACTTTCTCCCAGTGATGTCCACCAAGGAGGGGCTGCTTCCAACAGGGAGGGCAGGGCAGGGTGGGAATGGGAATCGCTAGTTCTCCTTCTCATGACTCTGACTCACTGAAACTGATCCTTCCTTTCCTTTTCTGGGGACACTTTCCTCCACTTTCAGCACCAAAGTGCTGACCTGACTTTCCCCCACTTATCTTTCGAAAATTCATCTTGTAAATGAATGAATGATAGTTGTGTGGCTGTTAATGGCACATCACATTGCCCTCGGAAAAGAAACGAGGAGACTCCAGAGACAAGACCTTGACCCAGGGAAATGCATATCCAAGGCAGGACATTTTAGATGCTGTGCAAATGGAACTGACATTTTAGGGAAAGCATGTTTTTCTAGCATTTCTCACACCATGCCTGTGATTTTAAGGGAGAACCAATTAGATTCCTCTATCCATCTTTCCTTCTTCCTTCCCACTTTTCCTCCTTCCTACTGTAGAAGGCTTTCTGGGTCCTCTGTTATATCCCAGGTGTTGCCTAGTTATGTTATTGGGGATTCAAAGATAAATAATGTGGTATCATCAATTTCACAATCTGTGAGTGGAGACAGGAAAACTGATCGTTGAGACAGGCTGAGGCCAATACCGTGAGGGAGGGCATACCAAGCACCTGAGCAGCCTCCCTGGGATGGAGGGGCAGGACTGGTCCTTTGACCTGGCTCTTGGTGAGGAATGTGGGTGTTTTAAAGTGGGAGCAAGAGGGCTGGGTGCAGTGGCACACACCAGTAATCCCAGCGGCTCAGGAGGCTGAGGCAGGAGGATTGTGAGTTCAAAGCCAGCCTCAGCAACTTAGTGAAGCCTAAAGCAATTCAGAGAGCCCTGTCTCTAAATAAAATATAAAAAAGGCTGTGGATGTGGCTCCATGGTTAAGCACCCCTGGGCTCAGTCCCTGGTACCAAAAACCAAAACAAAACAAAATTTGGGGTGGGGAGCAAGAGAACAAGATGCTGCAGGCCCAGAGAGGTTAAGCAACTGTGTGGTCCCCTTGGTGTTTGGGCACGACAGCCTAGAGGCACCTGGGACAAGTCGCAGCTGGGATGAGGCTGTGGTAAACTCCACTGGCCATTCCTATCCTCATCCCAGAAAACAGGAAAGGGAAACAGACGTCTATGGGCCAGGAGAAAAGCAAAGCCAGCTCTGAGCCATTAGCTTATATTCATGCAGCAAGTTCTGCAGCATGTGCTCATGGAGCACCTGTTGTGTGCCAAGACCGGCGTCTGGACAGACCATGCTGTGCAGGGTTCACTGATAACAGCTCAACGTCATTTCTGCAGAGGCTGCACATGAAGGTCCTCTTTGCTTCCTTAGAGGCCCATCTGCTAATAAATGATCTGACTCAGGTCTTTCTCCTCTCCTTCCTCTTGCTCCCTCCGTCAAAGGTGCAAAAGAGCAGGGCACTGACCCCCAGGCAGGTTTCCTGCACAGAGAGAAGGGGCCCAGCTCCCAGATCAGAAGAATAAGCAGGAGCTGACCCATTTCCACCAAGAACAGGGGACCAAGGGATTGGGTCCCCTAACTGCCAGCCTTCCTTCACCTGCTGACAATGGCTGAGTGCTTAGTCTTCCAGAAACAGCTGGGCCAAAGGAAAATAGCCCACCCACTCCTGCAAGAATGCCAAGAAACAATTGGCTATTAAATTCCGGTAGGATGAACAGGAACCCATTCAGCCAGGAAATCTAAATTGAACAGTGATTAAGTCATTCAGCTGGCTGGCCCCGATTAATGTCCAGGACTACAGAGGGCTCTGCTTTCCTCTTAGAGGCCATTTTTAGCCACTGGACTTTGGAGGGTATTTTACTTTTAAAGGAGTCATCTATATGTTCTTGTCGGGGATGAGTAAGGCCACAGACCAGGGAGGCAGGATGCCTGGGTTTGACTCAGCTTTGCCACTTGCTATGTGACTTTGGGCAAGTTGCTTAACTCTCAGTACCTCCATTTCCTCATCTGTGGAATAGGAATAATAACAGCAATAGTAGTGGCCCGGTGGTGGTGTTGATTATTTTAGGAGAATAAAATGAGATGACATTTGTGATTAGAACTAGTGCTTAGAACTATGCATAGTAAGAATTTTAAAAAAATAAATTAATAAAATGTACTTGTTTAATTTTCCAGATAGGGGTAGAGTACTTGCCTCTGTCCTTCCCTTCTGTTACAATGTCTGCCTTTGATCCCAAAGTGAAAAGCAGAGCTGTAGGGATTTGATCCTCTATTCAAAGCTTGATTCTACCACTTAGAGGCCAATTCCCCTGAGCTCTCTGCTCCTTGGTTTCCTCATCTGGAACATAAGTTATAATTATTATCTGTTTCCTAGGATGGTTGTGGGGAAGGAGTGCTGTAAAGTTATTAGTGCATGCTTGGCACTTAGTGCTCAATACATTTTAGCAATTGTCATTGTTAGGCCCTCAAAAAAAAGTGTCCCATAAACACAGCAATTTTCATTATGCAAGCTACACTCTGGCCAAAGTTAACCACTGAGACGTGCGGCCAGATCCTTGTGCTGTCTACCACAAAGCTTGGTGGCTAGTCAGGGTGCTAGGAGCTTGGCGGCCCTGGGTTTGAGGTCTACTCTTCTTGCTGGAGGTGTGATGTTGGGCAAGTTAACATAGCCAAAACCTAATTGGTTTCCTGCTTCTCTGCCTTCTATCCTTTCAGGAGCATTCATGGAGCAGAACTTGGTGGAGTCATCGTGTGAGGTTCTGGATGTCCCTGATGGACAGCTCAGTCCTGCTGCATCATGGGTAGACTGTGAGAATTAAATGGGTTACTGACTGCTGGTGCCTGGGCTGGTGCATTCAGTAAGCAATGGCTGCTCATGCTAATTTACTCTCAAATGTCCTTTGATCACATCTAGATTAGGCCTTGTCTTTTCCTCCCCTGGAGGAGGTGGCTGATTCTTACCATGCAGTACTTGAGCAGGACACAGGGAATAATTGTTCAAGGTCACTCATTCTGTTTCTGCAGTACAAAGTGAAGCAGGAATATTTTTTTTCCCTCTGTAAATTTGGGATACTATCAGCAGACTAGTCATCCAGGAAATTAAAAAGCAGAAAGCAGAATCTACCAAGTAGACTCAATTAAGATCTCCCCTTGATCTTATACAGTCCTGAGCCTTTTTCAAAGTAAATTTCACTGACATGGAAGTCTTTTTGACTGAACACATTTCCCCAGTTGTGGTCTACAGGATGCTGTTTTCTTAAGCTCATACTAGTGTTCCATGAAAAAAAAAATTAACTATTGCAAGTTTGTTTTCAGCAGACTACCTCCAAGGTCTTAATATACTAATGCATATTATAATTTTGCATGCTGTATTTCTGAAAATTATTTGATGAGGGAGACTTTCTCCAGTAACACAAGCACCACCTTGAAGGATTATCCCATCTTAGAAATGTCCATCTAGGAGGGCTAGCTGGATGTCACTGGTGAAAGCCAGGCCGAAACATTCAAACTCCAGTAACCTGAGTGGGATGTGGAGGAGCAGGAATAGAGCAGACGTTGAGTGATGGACGGGTCTGTGTCCCGGCCAGATGAGAACTGCCCCCAATTAAAGCTAGAGAAAGAACAGAGAGTTGTTTGTGGAGGGTGGCCATGCGCTTGGCCAGCGTGGCTCACCTTGACCTGGTTGGTCACGCCAGCATTGCTGGGTACAGTCGTTCCCCAGGGATGGGGCATCTTTGCTCTGCTCACTTTCTGCTCTTGCAGATTTTTCCTGATTTACAGTGGGTGGATTGAATGAGGAAACTTATCTTCCCCCAACAGTTTGGTAACTTCCTCTTCCTAAATTGAGAAGTCAAGATGACTGAAATTGGGAAAGTACTAACAATAGGAAATAAAGCTGTACAATTTGTGGTTATTTTTACCTGTGAGAAGCTATGTGACCTTGGAAAAGAACTGAACCGTGTATTTGAACCTCAACTTCTGCTTCTGCAAAATGGGGGTCTTGGCACATTGTCTGTCTGAGATTAATATTCATATCAATTGTAATTGTTGCATATGCATTTCATATTTGTGTGTGTGTGTGTGTGTGTGTGAGAGAGAGAGAGAGAGAGAGAGAGAGAGAGAGAGAGAGAGTGCAGGGGAGGGAGAGAGAAAAAAGGGACGGAGACATATGCAGTGCTTAAAGTATAACATAGATTCTACTTTGCAAAGAAAGATTTAGATTAAAATGGAAAAAGGAAAAGGATGCATTTCCTACGAATTGTTTCTCTTTCACTTAAAGAGCTAATTTATAAATGTGATTCTAGGCAGAGATTTCTAGAAATCGATATCACTGATTATACATGCATACATTAGTATCTTAATGTATACATATACATCAGTCTCTAAAGAATTTAGCTAGCAAAGCTTACTTGGTATTATGGGTGTATTATGGTACCCAAGACACTAAATCAGTACTCAGAGGGTTGTGTGGTAGGCTTTGACTCTGAGATAAGAGATCTATATTACCTGAGGGATTTTTGATCAGGGTCCTTGACCATAGCCCTTAGTGGATTAAAAAAAAAAAAAAGGTGGTGGAAGGGAGAAGATCAGTAAAACCATGTGCTTGAATGCCCTCTTTTTGTTCCTCAAACCTAGCCAAGTTAAGGGAACAAGGAGAGCAAGTCTGGACTAGAATGTCCAGGTACGCATTATCTCAAAGGACACTGGGACCTAGGACAAGTTCGTGTTATCTGTAGAAAGCTACATTCTTGCATGTACACCAGGACAGTTGCTCCTTGGGATGCTGGTCAGACAAGCAAACTAAGCAAGCTAATTCTGATCATGTCACATTTCTGTCACTTGTCTGCAGCCTAACATATGAAACCCCTGTCTCAGAGGTGATTGGCATGTAATTTAGGGCACTGTGGAAAGGATCCAGGTCACCCAGCCATCCAGCTGCCACTGGACTAAGGGCACTGAGGGAAAGAGGCACTGGTTGGCAGAGCAGAGCGAGGGCTGGACTTCACCCATAAGCATTTCTCAGTAAAGCCTTGAGTTTGCGGTGTGCCATCTCTAGGTATTTTCTCTGGTTTGTCAGCAACCTGTTCCATTGCCCTGGCTCAGCTGGACTGTGTTTGTGACACTTTCTTGGTAGATTTAGGAACTCCTCCTTATTTTCTTCTTCTTCCTTTCTCCCTCCTTTCTTCTCTCTTCTTTCACAGATAGTAAATATGGGTGCATTCTTATTTATTCTTGTTTACCCCATCTACCTTTGTATACATCCAGTGCAGATTAGCATCTTCTGTCATGGTTCATGCTATATTTGTGTGATTATTCCCCTTATTCTCCCCCAGTGGGCAGGGTACTAATGCTAAACTTTACTTTCAAGATTATATTTTATTTTCATATTTGTGGGCTACTTACTGAAGTCTCTTTTATAGTCAAGGGTATACAGTATTACAACACAAGTGAGAGTATAAAGAAAGGCTAAAATGTATGTTAACCAAATTAAGAATAGGGTGTATTAATAGGCTTTACCATAAAGGAATTGAGGTTATTCATCAGGGGAAACAACATTATGGGCAATAAACATACAAAGATTTCTTGTTTTGAATGTTTCTCTTAATTATTTTTCTTTTGCTACCTGAAAAACAACAACAACAAAAAATGAACCACCGTGTGCCAAGCAACATGCCATATTATATTACACAAAGCTTTCATACGGCCTCATTTAGGTCTCACACAAAATCACCAAGAGACAGGTTGTTTCTGCAGGCAAGACTAGAATGAGTCCAATGGAGAGGAACTGCTCCTGAGTGCAGGTCTCAATTGAAAGCTGAGGCTTGGTCCCTACAGGAAGCCATTATTAACTCTAAGGTTTGGTTCATGTAAAAAAGAGTTGACTGCTATGGTCAAAATGTATGGGTTTTGAAGGTTACCCTTACCTGGACCTGGACCCCACCATCTCACATAAAAGGGGCCTTTCAAAGAAACAAGACCAAGTCAGGCCTCATGGGAGCTGGGCCCAGGAACTTCTTTCTCCAACCCGGTCCCTATCTCTGTGTGTGTGCACACCTGGGGGTATGGCTTTTGCTGTGGGATCCTCATTATCTGAGAATTCTTTCATGGAAAGAGCAAAGAAAGAAAAAGAAAAAGAAAAATTTGGGGTAACGACCATGGGTAGCTCAGGTGATTTGCTCTACGCACACTGAGAGGGTAGAGGGAGACTCCTGCATGCCCCACATGGGAAGGAAAGAGGAGAGGACAGGACAGGATCTGGTGACAATGGAAGGCTGGCATCAGATTTGGCCCAGTGGCAGGAGGGAGGCAGACTGGAGCTCCAAGTTCTGTGGGTGGATAGAATGACAGTGGCAGCCCATTTGTGGTGAGATGGTCTTATATTCTCAGGAAAAGAGGGAAGGGTCTCAAGTGAAAGTGAGGATGTGGGAGAAAATTCGAATGGTAGAAAAAAGATGGTGGGAAAGGGGAATGTGGACTAGATACATACAGGTGGTGTTGAGGGACACTGGGCCCAGGAGAGTGTGAGTTGTTTTTTTTTTTTGGTGGGGGGCAGTACTGGGGACTGAACTCAGGGGCACTAACCATTGAGCCACATCCCCAGCCCTAGTTTGTATTTCACTTAGAGACAGGGTCTCACTGAATTGCTCAGCACCTCACTGTTGCTGAGACTGGCTTTGAACTCGTGATCCTCCTGCCTCAGCCTCCTGAGCTGCTGGGATTACAGGCATGGGCCACTGCACCCGGCCATGTGAGTTGAATTTAAAGTAAAATTAGGTGATGTGTTTTATGAATGTTTTCAGTGATGTCTGTACCAGGGTGTATACAGGGATGGAGTAGGAGGAGAATCTGTCTGAACAAGGCTTTGACTTAGCAAAGCAAACACAACCAAGTGAACTAAGGGGCAAGGGAATCCAGCGCGCATGTGAGGGTGTTCATGTTATAGTGGAATCTCATCCAGGTGAGGCGGGAAGTGAGGCCAGGAGTGGGGTGAGCAGCTGTGGGCTAAGGTAGGGTACCCCAGGGGAATGAAGGTTAATGGGGTTCAGAGTACTAGAGGGAGCAACCTGGAAAGAAGGGAGGTGTGGTTCGAGAGTGGGAGAGGGTGTCAATAGGAAATGACAATGTCAGGCCCCACCATGAGAGTAAGCGGTGACTGTAGATGAGAATAGATCATTGGTGCTGAGTCAAGGATCTCAGCTGCCAGGATATTGGGAAGATTTTTCCATGGATATTGAAACCACCAAAGAATTATGGCAGGAGCAATATCTGAGACACTGACTATAAAACAAGAGTGACCACACAGGGATCTCCAATGACCACAAGGGGAGGTAGTGAGTAGCAGACCCTGATGGTTTCCTGGGAATCTCTAGGGAGGGACTGTGGTCTGGCAGGGGCAAAAATGACAAGGAAGACAAACACTCTACCCTCCATTTCAGGGACACAGGAGTATAGTAGAGAAATTCCCACCATCTGAACGGACTTTGGGAGATGGGTTCTCAGGGCAGAGCAGAGTTCAATTAGAACTGTGCTTCTCAAGGTGTGGTTCAGAGGCCACAGGGAGTCTCTGGAACCCCAATCAGAGATCCACCAACCCCAAAACTGTCTCATAGAAATATTAAAATAATATTCGCCTTTTTCCATAGGTATTCAGTCCTTCCTTAGGTGACATGAGACATGACAATGCAATGGACTGAATGCAGAAATAGAAAGGAGAATTCAACTGTCTTCTAAGCCAGATGTTAAAGAGATTTATAGAAATGTACACAATAATACCATTCTTCCCAGTATGTTCTATTGATTATAAAATATCGTTATTTTTCATATAGTATGTGGTGATTTTATATTGTTATTTTATAAT